CTGTGTATTGATTGGAGAACAATTCAATCAAGCTAATTAACACCACAGCCAAGGCAGCCTATAGAAGAAAGTTTATTTGGGCTTATGATTCCAAAGTGATAAGAATCCTTCGCAGCAGGGAAGCATCACAGCAGGTAGCAGCCATGGCACCAGAGCAGGAAGCTAAGAGTCACATCCGCTACTATAAGCACATAGAAGAGAGATGGAACTGAAAGTGACTGGAGGCCTTTTAATCTTAAAGCCTGCCCCCCCCCATGACACATTTCCTACACCAAGACTGCATCCCCTAAACCTCCCCAAACAGCGCCACCAACTGGGCACCAAGTGCTTGCTCAAATACCAGAGCTTAGGGGAATATTTCTCATTCAAACCAGCACACCAACTTAGATCTTCTGTGGTGGGAATGTTGAAAATCTGTTCTCTTAGCAATTTTACCGTAAGCCTCTTCTGTCTGTACCCCCTTTCTTGATCTGTATTGTACTCAGATTCCACTCTCTTTGGAATCTACACACAGTTCTTTCATCCCTAATGGTTCCCATCTGGAAAACAGTTGAGTATGTCATAGTTTTACTTACTTACTTACTTACTTACTTACTTACTTACTTACTTACTTACTTACATTTATTTATTTTGGCTTTTCAAGACGGGTTTTCACTGTGTAGTTTTGGTGCCTGTCCTGGAACTCGCTCTGTAGACCAGGCTGGCCTCAAACTCGCAGAGATCTGCCCGGCTCTGCCTCCTGAGTGCTGGGATTAAAGGCATGCGCTGCCACCGCCTGGTCATAGTCTTTTTTAAGCAGGAATGGGAGAAACACCCTTCCTAATGTCTGCACAGCCAGCACTCTCCACTGTGTGATTGAGGGAAAGCTGGGTACTCTAGTCTCGGGGTGGCAGCAGCCACTGCCTTCCTGATTCCCCCACCACACAGCACTGAGACCACACTGGTTCCTTAGTGTGGGTGGTTCCACACCACAGATGTGTTGGAGAATCTGGGGTTTCGTCACGTCTTCACCAGCACCTTGTCCTACAGACACTGTCTGCATGCCTCTTGGGCAAGCCGAAGCACTGACTGATTTTCATGAGTAGTCTTTGGAGTTCAAAATCTACCAGGCTACCCGTGTCATTGTCCATGGCACTCTCTAGAAAAGAAAGCAAAAGAGAAGGAAACAACAGATACGGTTAGATACTACAAGCAATCAGGACATGTGTGGAAGAGGACTCAGTTTGTTTGTAGCTATACCATTGTTAACTATCTATATCCCCAACACACACACACACACACACACACACACACACACACACACACACACACGCCTGTATTTTTGTTTTGAGGGAAGCCATCATATTTTACTTGTGTTCATGTTCCCAGGGAATGCTATAGACCCATCCTGTGGGAGACACACAATCAATCCTTGGATGCACTGAATTAAAGTAGAATTTCTTGCCAGAACTGAGTCTAGCTATTTTTTTTTTTTCTACTGGGATTGGACAACTGCTAAAAAAAAAAAAGTCAAAGATATACTGAATTTCATTAGCAGTTCCAAACATATGCTTTTTCCTGAATAGGAAAGTAAGAGACAATAGACCAAGGGAGCCAGAGCAAATATGATTCAAGCATTAAAATGTAAGAGACGGGCTGGGGATAGATGTCAGCTGCTACAGTGTTTATCTACTGCTCATGAAGTCTCCAGCACGGCACAAACCAGGCAAGGAGGTCCAAGCCTGTAATCCCAGGACTCACAGGTAGCGGCAGGAGAAGCAGGCATTCAAGGTCATCCTCGGCTACACAATGATTTCAAGGCTACCCTGTACTATATTGAGACTCTGTTTCAATAAAAAAAAAAAAAAAAAGGAGGAAAAAAGCGGCCCTAACTGGTGACCTTTACTTATGGATTCTTCCTGCTTAAGAAAACAGATTCGTGCAAGGGTTTCTGAAATTGCATTTTTAAAAGTCAACACAAACACAGTAGCAACATTTGCTTTGGGTCGAGTGCATCTGTTTGCCAGTGGGGCTTTGCAGAGATGGTCTTAGCTACTCTGACAGTATCGTGGGAAGAAGGTGAGCACAAGAGACGCTTCCGTAGCATCAAGACACGGACGCTCTGGAAGGCCTTCAGAAAACTGTGGGCTCATTAGCCCCCTGTCCACCAAGCACACTTTCCCCTACTTAACCGAGTCAGGTATGCAGGGGCACTGGAGAAGACAGGAGCCATCACCACTGCTGCCTTTCACGTCCTACTGTGTTCCCATATCTGTCTAGGATGCTGGGAGGAGAGAGTACTTTTTCTCTTCCTTCTGAGATCTACACTGTTTGCCCACACAGCACACCATTCATTTTACCTGGACAAGCTTTGGTGACCTGGTGACTTCTCAGAAAAAGATTGCAATGAAAATAATTCCCTTTATGTTCTCAAAATGCCAAGATGCCCTCATTTTCCCTCCTTGCTATGAAACTAGAGGCTAGTTAGAAGAAAAATTTTAAAAAAATCAGGAAAAGCTGTCAATAGATCAGAAGAATCTCCCCCATCCATGTCCCACACAACAAGCTTCTCAGCTTGAAAGCGCTGAGGCTCCTGCTAATAGGTACATTACAAGTCAGGAGTCCTGGGGCAACCTCCTAGGCTGTAAGTGATTCTCATCACTGCCCAGGTGGTGCCCAGCCTGTGGCTCACACCAAGCTGCAAGGCTCTCTCAGTGCTCAGAGGAAACCAGGACCTGCCTAAGCTGGGCTAATCCAGTAGTTCCCCTTATTCAGTTTCACATTCATGGTTTTAATCAACCTTGATCAGAAAACATCTAGTGGTAAATTTCACAAATAAACAGTTCCTAAGTGTTAAATTGTTGACTGCTCCATCCCACTCAGGATACAAGTGACTCTTTATCCAGTGGGTCTAAGCTGTATACACTACCCACCCATCAGTCACCGAAAAGCCACTACAGTTACAAGATGACCAAAGCAGTATCTTGGTGAAACAACCCCTATTTTACCTCATAATAAGCTATTTTGTTGTTCTATTAATATCTTTTCCTATTTTGTTATAAAATGTTGCAGTTAATCTCTTACTATGTTGAGTTTATAAATGAAACTTCACCTGATGTATGTATCTATAGGAAAAAAAAACAGAATATAAATAGGGCTCACACCTTCAGAGTTATGGCCATCTACAGAGCATCTCAGGGAACACACTGCTCTTGGATGAAGGAGACTCTCATAATTAGGATGCTGGACCCTCCTCAGAGCAATTGACATGCCGTGGAGGGCAGAGCCTGGCATTTACCTTTGCAACAAGCCCCTGAGTGCTTATGGCGATGACCTAATGTATTTGTTGATAATGCTGAAGGGCAATTCCTACAGTCGTTTTAATATTGACACTGAAAAAGCTCCTCACTGCCCGCACTACTGCTCTCACATCCCAATACCATGTGACTAGAACTGCGCTTAACCTCACGCTGCTGTGGCTGTTCCTCGGGGCTGCATGTTTCCAGGGTCTTTATTCTCTGAGAGTTGTCGCTCGGCACAGGCTCTGTGTACACCACGCTTCTTAGTCATTGTAGCTGGTCCAGGGAGACTCCGCAAGTTGGAAGGACAAACCAGAGGAATTACATCAACAATGAGATCAGCCCAGACTGTCATAACTTGAAGATAGGTTACAGTTTCCCTACACCTTACTAGGAGGCTTGTGCTTTACAACAGCTGTGATGATAAGACAGAGGCAAAACATTCAATAGTGGCATCCCCTTCCTATTTGAATAAAACTGGATGGCCTTCATAAGAACGTAGTGATTACTATGTGGCCCAGTTTGCCGTGTCACAGTTTAAATACTTCGGTTTTGAAAGAGAACAGTGATGGTTTAGAACTGTATTTTGGTAGCGTAGTACAAAAAAAAAATATTATTTAGCCTTACTTTAATATAAGAAAACTTTAAAGGTTTATAGTCCTTAGCAAATATTTAAAACAAATTTGCCATGTAATCCAATTGAAAACATTAATAAGCTGACTATTCATCATCTCATTCATTTCAAAAGCACCTGCTGTGAGCCATGACACTGTTTCTCAGCCTGAGCTGAGCTGGCATTCTCCAAGGCATCAATCATCCCATGACTGCTGGGGGTGGCTGACCTCTGTCCCACATCCACCTTATTCCTCCCCTCACTTCAAATCCTCCCTTTCCATGTCCTGTGTATTCCATTCCCTTCCTCCCTGTCCTCCTACCCACTGCATAGCCCGTGCTGTAGCCTGCACTAGGGGCATCCTCAGAAATTCCTGTCCCATTCCTTCAGTTTAACTCTAGGCACAATGCCAGTCTCCCAAAGATCACTTCTGCTACAGTCAAAAGCTGACTCCCTCCAGTATGTGGCCTTTCTCTCACTTCCTTATCTCCCACAGGATGCAGTTGCCCACAGGACACCAGTCTCTTACTCGGTGAACATCTAGACTTGAATCATTGTCAGAACTGTGCTCCTTGACAATCACAGTAGTAGCAGGCATCCCACATTATCCTCCACTGTTATTAGTCATGGTTCTCAAGAGGAATAGAACAGATAGAATTAATATGTATTATATTAACTTATTAGGATTTATTACAGTGCATTACAGGATATGGTCTCTCTAGCCCCAACAATGACTATCACGTGGTGAAAAGCCCAAGAATTCAATAATTGTCCAGTCCATGAGGGTGGATATCTTAGCTGGTCTCCACTATACATTCAAGTCCCAAAGAGTAGGCTATCCCTCTCCCATTTCTCAGGCATTATCATGTTCCTTCTCAGGTCTTTGATGGAGCTGAAGACTAGGTAGTTACAGTTACAATCTTGTATCTTAGCTAGAACATATTAAGTATTAGATTTAGGTTCTTCAGGATAGGACACCTTTTGGAATGATCTCTGTTATGTGCCATTTACCTATGCTCCAGACTGCTCTGGATTTTAGTATATTTGATGTTGTTCTTGTTGGTTGTAGTTCCATCTTGTATAGGCCAGTATCCCTTATTCCTCCTGGACAATATTTGATAATCATTCCTATTGTATATAGTTTTGTATTAGGTTAGAACTTTCTTATTTAGACAAAGGGGGGAGATGTAGTGGGTAGCTGTTCCAGCTTTGACCTCGAAGCACTGCCCCCAGTGAGGCAACAGGTAACTACCACACCTGTCTATGACTTGCCCCTGGGCTATGGCCGAAATGGGACCCCTTAAGATCTAAGATGCTTACATGTCAGCTCTCTTGGTTCCTCGTGATCCTCGATGCTGGATTGCAGACTGAGGCAGAGTTCTCCAGAGAACCATGCTGGACTGCACCTCACCTCTCCTGGATCCTGTAACCAACCCCTTTATTGGCTGTAAGTTACCGTGAAATAAACCTCTTTTAAATACCAGATAAACTACGTGGAATTGCCTTGTTAATTGCTGCTATATAAAAGCAAACCACTCCCTTCTTCCAAGTCCATTATATAGGCTGCCACCAGAAGATGTGGCACATCTAGGGTGGATGTTGTAACCTCAGTTGATCCGGATTTAGGGTGGGTCTTTCCACTATAGATGATCCAATCAAGAAAAAATCCCTCACAGATGTACCCAGCTGTTTGGGTTTTAGCTAATCCCAGATGTAGTCAAGTTGACAACCAAGAATGGCCATCATACCACCTCCTGTTATTTGGCCATGTGCCTCCAGGCCAACAGCTCACTGAGGCCAGATGTATTTATGGTCTTCCTCTTTTTCCTTGATTCCGTTCAGCCCCAACTTGATTTCCAGTCTGCCATTGAAGTTATTGCCCTTAGTGTGGGCTGAGTGATTTCTCCCATTCCCTCATAGACACATGGCCAGAGCGTGGCAAAACCCCTATTAAATAAATGACTTGTCCTGAGCACCTGCCTGTCCTGTAGGAACCTCCTCCTGCCTGGCCTCATCTGGATGTGTGATCACCAACCCCAAGCAAACTTTGTTCTGCCTGCTACCTGATATCCCCAGGCCAGGGACAAACCTCTCCTCTGCAGGTGGTGTGGGTCTTACCCTCTCTCCTCATGCACACAACCTCACCCTCTTCACTGAGAAAATGTCTTTGTCTAGCTCTCTTCTCTTACTTTCCCCTTGGCCTTTTTTTTTTTCTGTTACAGTGGAGGAGGTGTTCGGATCCCAGCAAAGGGAGAGTACACTCTGGGCCACTAAAGCCCATCCCTTCTTGTCATTCCAGAGGCAGGACCCAGGCAGTCCTCTTCTAACACTCCTACATTATGGGATTTCCCTTCCCCTGGGCCATTCCAGTCAGAGCACAAAGAAGTGTTCCGCTGTAAGAAAAAGATAAAAAGAGAACGGAGTCTTTTTTTTTTTTTAACCTCATATCTTCCAACTTCTGGCTCATTTTGAAGAAAAACTTCTCAAAGAATTATTTAAACCTCTCTCTTTGAAAGTCTTTGCACTCCTTTCCTAGAAATCATTCCATGAAGGTTTTTTTTTTAACCCCCAGCATGCCATAAAATTCACTCTCATTGTAACAGGTCCCCAGACCTTAGCACAACTGACGCCATGCTAGAGACACCATTCTGACCTTCGAAGCCAACATGTGATCCCCAAACCTGCCAAAATGGGAACAAAGACCTGGTCCACAGTTCTGGGGTCCAAGGAAGTCCCCAACCTTACTTTTTGACATCTGTAGTTCAGACTCTTGCTAACTGCTCTTGCTAACTGAAGTGTGTCAACCAGGATGTGATTTTTGTGCATAAAAGACATAGAACCATGAGGACAAGGACTGCATGTTTTAAGCAAATCCCCCATATAGCCACCAGCCGGCGATTAAAACTTTCTTTTCAGCTTTAAGAGTGTCTGTGTGTGTTCTCTAGTAGACTTACCTCAAAACATCGTCAAGGATACCAATGGTCTACTTATCCCGGCCCAATTTTACCTCCTACAGCATTGAGCATAGTTGATGGGCTGTTTTGTGTTGAAAATTGTCCCTCATTCTTGGGCTGCTCTAAGTGAATACCAGAAACTTAGTGGCTTGAATAAGCATGTATTTCTCATGTCTCTGGAGAACATACTTCATGCAGGTCCGAGATCCAGGCACAAGCCCATCCAGGGTCTGTTGGGGGCCCACTTCCCAGCTTAGCTAGTGGTTAATCCTATCTGTTTTTCTAAGAATATTAATCCCCTCACGGGAATCCATCCTTCAGACCTCATCTAAGTCTTGTCACCTCCAAAGCACCCCAAGTGTAGTCCCACAGCAGGAGATAAGAGTTCAACATATGAATTACGAGGGGTAGAACTGATAAGAAAAGGGTGATGCCCCCCTTTCCCTTCTTCTGTTTTGTTTTCTATCTCAACCAGGGACATTGGATGGGGCATAAAACCCTTAACCCCATACACATCCCTGTACTCATTGCCCACCCCCCATACATAGAGAACCTAAATCCAAACAGCTCCAGACAAATTGCATATAATAGCACAAGAGGCTCCTTACGGGACCAATCACTGTTGAGGCACTGTGGTTTGAATATGAGCTGGCGCCCACAGGCTCATGTGTTGAGGCTTCATCTAGGAGCGCTCTTTTGTGAAGTGAGATATAGCTGTGTAACAAGGCACCAGACCTTAGTAGGCCCCCGCGGATCTTAGCACAACTGACTCCATGATTAAAGTACCATTCAGGTTGTGAAACCCAGCATGTCGACAGAACCACCTGCTGAAACTAAAACAAAGGCCTAATCCATCAAAGTCCGTAGTTCTGGGAAAGTCTCTAAATGTATTAACCCTGCTTTTTGGCTTCTGTAATTCTGCCCATGGCTAACTGTTCTTGTTAACTGAAGTATGTCAACCCAGAACATGTTTTTTGTGCTTAAAAGCTCACACTGGGAAAGACTCGGGGCCACACTGGGATCTCGATCACCTAGTGTAGTTGCTGGCTGGCTAATAAAGACTTTCTATTGGCTTAACCCCATGTTCCAGCTGTCTGGTCTGTGAATATTCTACAACAGCTGGAAGAAGAGAATAACTGGGGTCAAGCTCTGGGGGGCATCTTGTCCCTGGTCCCTTCTTATCTTTTTCTCTGCTTCCTTTTCATCATAAAGTAAACAGTTCCCCTCTGCCACAATGTTCTGCCCAAGGCCAAACTACTGTAGATGAACCCTGACCATGAGGAAAAAAAAAAATAAATCCTTCAATTGTTTCTGTCAAGTATGTAGTCTTAAAAACCAAATAGTACATGATGTGATTTATTTGCTTGGCTAGTTAATGGGACCACAGTGCAGGGGAGGGAAGAAAGGGAAGAGAAGAGGGGTGGTGGACCCAGACCACATCAACAGAGCAGAATCGCTGTATCGGTCAGCGTTTCATCACTACAAGCAAATTCCTAAGATAACCAATAATTCTCATTTTGGGGGCTTTGATCCACAGCCAGATAGCATATTTGAGGCCCATAGTGGGACAGCATATCATGGCAAAGCAGTATAACCACCACATTATATAGCTTGGTGATAAAGAGACCCAGAGACCCAGTGTGCCTTCCAAAAACATACCACCAATGATCTAATACCACTGCCTCCCAATAGATCCCATCTCCTAAATGTCACCACTTCCTCAAGGGGCCACCATCTTCCCCAAAGAACCACAGCCTGGGGACCAATCTTATAGTGCCTGGGCCTTTGGGGGACATTTAAGAGCCAAACGATGGGAACTGCTGAGAAATGAGAAAGAGTGAGTTCCAAAGTAAATGGTTCCAGGGTGAGGAGAAGTATGCCCAATATATTATATTTGAAAGGTTTTCATGTGAAAGACTGATTTGATTTGAAATATTCATTTCCAGGAAGCATTAATCAGATCACACTGCAGAGACTTTTATTTAATCTAGGGAAACACTAAAAGATGGAGTGGATTTAAAACTAAAAGAATGGGTAGTAGTCCAGAGACAGAGGAGGCATCTTCACCATGATTTGACGGCCACAATATCCTCCCCCAAACCCAGATAGCATTAAATCCTGCACTGGGGAGCCTTTTGACATTCTCCTGTGGGTCTGCACTTTCTCGGTAGCAGTACAACTTACTGGCTTGAGTATAGGGAATTTTTAGTGACAGGGTAGACGCATGCTCCTGGGCCTGGGTAGGCAAGGAGCTGGAATTTCAGTGACCCAGGAAAACTGAGTGTTTATTTTGTCAGCTGTCCCCATTAGAAGGAATTAGATGTGGGGGAACTGAGGACAGTGGAGATGTATCCTGGTCAGTGTCCCCTGGCGGTCAGGCCCTTTGCAACTGAACATCCCTGGAGATCCTGGGATCTTCTGGATATGTCTGAAGCCTAGGTACAAGGGACTCAGCCTCATTACAATATCATTTGCATTCTGGTTTTTAACTTCCTCCTTTTCAGGAGGAACGTGGGCAGAAATATCTAAAGGGATATCCAGTCCGTTATGATTTTGGAAAGGAAAGTCCTCTCCTTAATCCCATGACTATGTCACCACTTTATCCATATTCATAACTTTAGAAATCCAGGGATGTATGAACAAACCAGTTATTTCAGTATGAAGATCTTAACACCAAGGTAAAGTGAGCTAATGAAACAATCCAAGAGTTTCTGGAAATGGGGCAACTGAAACCTTTTATTCTTTTATTTTTAATGGTTAAGAGACATTTCAAATGTCTAAGTTCAAAGTGGATGAAGCTGTGTACCAAATTGTTTGGACAAACATCGTGCTCTTTAACTGTGTTTGATGGGTTCGATCTGCATGCTGCTCGGGGCTGTTTATAGAATTTTAATTTCTCCCATTGTGCTGGAGTTCAGAATCAAGGTAAATAAGCAAAATTCTTTGGTCCAGTCTTCCACAAACATAATTCTGTCCCACGTAATTATTAGGTTAATTCAATTTTCCTAATTTCACAGAAGCCTGGGGAGAGAGCTCAGTCCATGAAGGGCTTGCTGTACAAACAAACCCGGGAACCTAAGGTCAACCCCCAGCATCCAGGTAAAAAGCCATCAGTTTCCACATAAGTTCTTGTCTTCTTTTCCTTTTTTCCCCCTGCCACATAATATATAATTCACTGAAACTGATAAAAGAATGGGTTTTTGTCTAATAACAAGGCTATGGTCTTTCTCCTTAAGGCCAAAATAAAACAGAAGCATGAAGTAGGCAGTTTGCTTCCTGGGGTTTATGCTTTGGGATACCATCTCTCCCAAAGCAACACACCTGGCCACTGGCTTGGGTCCTAGTTCACACCACCTATTTTCAGCAAGCTGCCTTTTGAGATAGTACCCAGTTCGACTGCATTGTTACAATAGAAGTAAACGATCGCCTAGGGGTTAGACCCCTCCACTACTCTCTGTACCTAACTGAAAACAATTCTCTATTAAACAGGGAGGGCAGAGGAGGCATTAGGGGAAAGGATGTTGTCCTACAGAGGCAGGAAATGTTTCTGAGGGTACAGTTCTAGGGGAGTTGTCCCCCTCACAGTGGGCCACATCATTGTTCATGTCATAATTGTGTCTTGTATTACATGTGATTATGTAAGCTAGATCATGGGCTGAGAGCTACTTTGCAAGGCAGACTAGAAAAGGTATGCATGAGGGTGTGTGTGTGTGTGTGTGCGTGCGTGCGAGAGAGAGAGAGAGAGAGAGAGAGAGAGAGAGAGAGAGAGATTTGGGTTTGGTTGGTTTTTTAACCTTAAGAAGGCAGGAATTCAAGTATAGGAATGATTAGAATGTAGATCCAGTTTACAAAAGACATCAGGAGCCATGGCTAACCAATTTCTCCTGAAGTCAAAAAGATGAGAAAAATAATCCGTGTAAAGACCATGACACTTGCCCAAGTACACACAATTAATACTGAAGTCCTGAGACTCTAGTGGTTCCAAGTCTTACTCTATTCAGTTCCATAAGGTGATTTTGGCTGGGAGATGTGATAGGAATTAGAACCAGATGAGATATATGTGTGTGTATACATATGTACATACACATATGTGTATGTGTATATTCTAGGTATATATTGTATATATATAATATATTATATATAAAATGTAATATAATATAATGTATCAGGGCCATCCATTCACACATTTGTGACATCTGATAGTCATGACAGGCAGTGCAGATCAAGAGGGAAGGTTGGACTCAATAGCCAGGTTAGGAACAGCAGACCATCTTTATGAGGTAAACCATTGCCCACCTTTCTTATTAGGGTTGCTTTTCATGTGACCTTGCCACAAATGAGAATCCCCCTTCAGCCTTGCCTGAAGACCTGCCCTGAATGCCTGGATTGATGTGGGAGTACTCACCTGCACTGTGAGTGGCAGCGTAGGAAAGCAGTCAAGATAAAAAAAAAAAAAAAAAAGGAGAAGGAAAATGGTCTCTCCTCCTGCTCACTTGGCCTCCCTCTTGCCGATGAGTTGATCTGCCCTGCAGCTGATGATGATGATGATAATGATGATGATTGATTGATGCTGCTGCTGACAACAATGATGATGATGATAATGACAATGAAGATGGTGATGATGATGATGATGGTAATAATGACAATAAAGATGGTGATGATGATTGATGATGATAGTGATTCCTTCGTTGCCAGCAGAACCAGCATTGCCAACTCACATTATGGACAGGTACCCAGGTACCAGCGGTTCTTCAGGAAACTTCCATGCTTCCAACACCAGTTTGAGACTATGGAGGCACCAGAACTGCAAACTGAGTAACTACCAGTTGTCGCTCCCTAGTGAGCAAACAGCTACTGTACTGTAGAAGTACTCTGTTGAGGCACCCAGCCTCCAGGACAGAGTAGCAATCAGTTCTTCACTTCTCAAGTGTGATTCTGCCTTTGTTACCATTTTAAAGATGATTTAATAAGTTCATACACACACACACACACACACACACACACACACACACACACACACACATTCACCTCTTTGGTGCTGAGAACCTTGACTAAAACAATTCTCAAACAACAATTCCAAATAAATTTAGCAACAGAATTCAGAGGGCAAGGCAACAAAAGTGCTTAAAATTATTAAGGAAAATAATTCTGAAAAAACAATGCCTACATGATATCATAAAATATTTGTTAAGTAAGATATAAGACTACTCATAAAGAAAATGGCTGGTAAGTTGGACACAAACCCTTGGAATTTATTTTCATAAAAAGCTTACTAACATAAAAGGCCTTTCCACTTTGTTTTCCATCAAGTAAATTTTTCCCACAATATGAAAATAATTAATATCAATCTATTTTTATTCAGAAAGCACAAAATGCAGGCGGAAAATGTGTGGGAGGCCTAATCCAGCACAAGGAAGGAAATACATGTAAACACTGGGCAAATGAAATGTAAACAGACATCAGGAGGATGAAAAGTCACACACTCTGAAGTCAGAGAATGCAGCAAGTTAAACCATGGTGAACTTACTCCACACTCCCACCTGGTGGACCAGCAATGACAGTCTGAAAAACACGATTCATCAAAGGGGGGAAAGACAGTCTGAAAAACACGATTCATCAAAGGGAGGGAATCCCCACACACCGCTGGCACAATGGTGTTGCTACAGGCACCTTGGAAACTGGTTAGGGTCACACAGTAAGTAAGCATGTGACCCATGGTCATTTTGTTGCAAGGTAATTACACCAGAGTACACACAGACATTCTTCCAGCCAAATAGAAAGGCTGCATTGCCAGCCAGTGGCTGCATTGGGAACTTGCTGAAATCGTGCAGCCAGAAGCCTTACTGTTTTGTACCTTTCATGCACAAAAAAAAAAAAATCACATCCTGGTTGGCACACTCAGGTTACCAAGAACAGTTAGTGAGAGGCGAAACTACAGAAGCCAAAGAAGGTTAGTACAATTAAGGACTTCCTTGGAAGCTATGGACCAGGGATTAGAACTTTGTTCCCATTTTGACAGGTTTGGGGGCCTGCATGCTGGGTTCTAAGGTCAGAATGGTGCCTCTACCATGCTGTCTGTTAGGTTAATGTCTTGGAGCCTGTTATAATTTGGCTCTAAGATAACTCTCAGTATTGGGAGGGTTTTTTTCCATTTTACATATGAATGTGCTTGAATATATTCATTCCATCATTTCTCCACAACAAAAACCCAGAGACTAGCCAGCAGTCGAATGGGAAAAGAACTCTGTGGCATGTCTATGTAAGGAAATAGTTCGGAGTGTGGAAATGAATGAACTAAAGCAACAGCATGGATGAGGCTCACAAGCACTGTATTGGCACACAAAAGGAGTCCAAAACAGATACAAAAGTATGCAGGCAAGTATATGCTCTTTCATTCCATTACTTAGAATTCAAAACAAGGCTAGGTAAAGACTGATGCTTAAGGGTGCACCATAGCCAACACTTGAAAAGGAAAACTCAGTGTTGGGGTTGGGGTTGCCCAGGGCTTGGTCAAGGATGTGTGGTGGGGACTTCGGGATTCTGACAGCATTCCAGTTTGGGGCAAGGTAGTCATTCTTTTGGGTTCCTCCTGAGGTGATTGGGGTGTGTGTGTGTGTGTGTGTGTGTGTGTAGATAGATGATAGATAGATAGATAGATAGATAGATAGATAGATAGATAGATAGATAGATAGATAGA